TTTGGACAGTCTGTGAGTTAAGTTTTTGCGTTCTAAGTGGTTGAAATGCATTTCCCGGTGCATAAAATTTACATAAAATTAAAATGGTAGAGTCCAGAAAGTTTTATTGGAGATCACCCCCACCTGCATGATCTGCCTGGCAACTTTTCCAAGCTGGACGGCTGCACCGGCCATCTCAGCTCACCTTCCACCAGCCACTCCAGTTGTATGGCTCATCCTCAGAATAGCCAAGCTACTCCCTCTTCAGTCACTACCCCGATGATGGCCTCTGCCCCCTTCACCTCTATGCAACAAATACAGCTGAATTAGAACAATCCACCCCCTTTAACTCAATCATTTGGTGTCCCCTCCTTCGTCTGCGTGCTTCTCATTACTATTGTGTCTGCTACGTGACAGATTTGTGTATTGTTCACCTCCACCAAGCAAAATCAAATTATGCATTCCAAGAGAGATGAAATTTTGTTTTATTTCTTGCTGCATCCTCAGATCCTAGATACAGTAGATACTCAATAAATACCTACTGAAAAAAATCAATGAATTATCAACTATTGGAAAGTTGTAATGAGAAGTCCAGGAGAGTCTTTATGGCTTAGAACATCTCAACCAGTCGAGGCTTTTATGATGCTGAAGATGCCTTAGGATGCCGTTGATTTATAATGTTCTAGAATCTTAGTAACACTACAAGAACGAGAAGCAAGAGAGAAAAGTGGATTCGCCACCATAACAACAACCTAAGCAGAAAAGCTCATTTTATCGGTCTCCTTTCATTCCAATTCATTCCCAGTTATGCTAAACTGCCATCACACAATAAAAACAAACTTACATCACATGATAAAAATGAGTTCTCTGGGATGGAGAGGTGGCTCAGTGGTTAAGAGTATTTGCTGATGTTGCCAAGAACAGTTTGTTTCCCATTACTTAAGTTAGGTGGTTAACAACTGCTGGTGACTTCAGATCTAGGGGATATGGCATCCTTTTTAGGCCTCTGTAGGTACTCATGTGCACAGACCCACACACAAATAAGCTTAAAATAAAATCTCTGAGAAAAAGAGTTGGGCCTAGATATTGCTCAGGAACAATTTTATTGTCCTTTGTATCTCTATTGCCTTTGTTTAACTGTGGAAACACCTGGGTTTGAGAACTCCACATCTTTTTACAAAGAGTTCTTTATGGGATCATTTGTATATACAAATACTTTATTTTTATTTCACAAGTTATCTTTGTGACATGTTTGTAGCAACAATTTATTCACAGGCATAAAGTCAGGATTTTTCAATTAAAAATGAGTCATACAAGGAAGCATTGTACACAGGATGCAAGCAGGGAGAGTTCTATGGTATCTTGGGTACCACAATATCTTAGAATAACATAAAAGCAAAAACTGAATTCATGTTGAGACAGAAAAATTGGGCAAGAGCTCACTGGCTCATCTGACTAACAACAAAGCCAGGAAACTCTCCAGTATATGACTTTGTGTGTGAGAATGGGGTGGGTAGGAGGAATGGGTTTGTTTTCTGCAATTAAAGATGAAAGATGCCCATCAGTCTTTTCCATGCAAGTTACTTTTAGACAATTTCAAGAGAAGGCAAATGTCATGAAGGTGATGAAGCCCTGTGAGCCATGTGGATTTGACACCTATTCCAATCTTACGTAGCACTGAATGACTGAGTCCTACATCTAGCAATACCCTTTTTCTATAGACATTACAAGCATGGTGCCTAAAAAGCTAGTATAGAGAAAAGCTGACGAAGAAATGCTTTTAAAAGAGTTCTGAAAGCTACCATGACCTAGAATTGTTCCCTATTACTATACTGACAGGTCTTCAGAGCACCATGGAAACGATGTACAGAAGCTAACCTCATCTAGTTACAATAACACCCAACATACCTGGTGACAAGTATTTATTAGATCAGTCAGAAATCATGCTGGCTAGAAGGCCTCGGTGAATGGCAGGAGCATAAAGCTATCGATGATCATTTACTGTGTCTAAAGGGTACAAACTAGATCTATAACATACACCCTTGTGGACTGCATACCTTGGGAAACTATCTCGGCTCATCTCAAGTGCATAAAAAGCTTGAGAGAATAGAACCTGAACTAAATCCCACACCTAGTCAGCAATCTGATTGTTTCAGTGAAAATAATTTTAAAGATTTGCTTATGTATCGGGGTATTTTTTTCTAAATGTATGTATGTGTATGTACGGACCACACGTGTGCCTGGTGTCCCTGAGGTCAGAAGGCATAGGATCCCCTGGAACTGGCGTTATAGATGGTTTGAAGCCACTGGGAACTGAACTTGGGGCTGTTGTAAGAGCAACAAGTGCTCCTAAGCACTGAGCCATCTCCCCAGGTCCTTGTTTGGCAAAGAGAATGTTAAGATTGCTGTAAAGATGTTCTTAGTGCACATGTTGTGAGTCTTGTTGACCCCAAACAGCTAGTTTTCCGAGTGTACGCTGTGCATAAGCTGCAGGACTAGTGAGATTAGGATGTCTTCACCCGAATGCCATTAGGCACAGTTGTCCTAGGTGGTAGGAGCCATTTGCATGCTTATAGTGGGAAAAATGGCCACAGAGTCATAGAAGGGCACATAGTCACTGCCTGTCTAAGCTGAAAAAAAATACGACAATTCTCTAAGCTAGGAAGTAAAGTTTAGACCAGGGGAAGGGAGCAACCTGGAAGCAGATTTGGCATCATAGCCATTCTGGAACAGATGTGGTGAGAAATGGGTGAGTGAGAAAAGCCTGTTCTCATAGACTCAGAACCAAGGGGGAACATGATGTATTTGAATGATGAATGATATGTTCTTACATCTAAAACCAATCTAGCACCAGGGCCCTAAACCATTACTACTCTGAATATGTTTTTATGCTAAATTTTAATTTAAACAAGAAAACATCAGTGTTAAGAAATAGATTTCTAGCCAGGCAGTGCTGGCACACGCCTTTAATCCCAGCACTCAGGAGGCAGAGGCAGGTGGATCTCTGTGAGTTTGAGGTCAGCCGGGTCTACAAAGCAAGTTCCAGGACAGCCAGAGCTGTTAACAACGAGAAACTTTATCTCAAAAAACAAAATAAAATAACAATGACAACAAAAGATTTCTTTGATTTTGTTTCCTTTTAAGGAGGTGGGGAGGGGAAGAGACTATATAAACCGAATGATGTACGCTATTATGTTTCAGCACCCAGTCATGTGTATCCCCAAACTTGTATCTGACTACAGGCAACACTTTCCTTCATATAAGAAACAATCTCATTTAGCTGGGGGCTGAGTGGCTGTAAGTTCACTCCATGTAGCTTCACTGTTCAAAGGGAAAGTAGGGCATGTAAGAGAAACATTGAGAGGCACGATAGTAAACACGGGCTGCACATCAGCCATTAGTTAGGGCATATTTTCTGTCACATAAAAACTCAGCCCCTTTCTTCCATTGCCCATTCAAGGAGGTTAGATGGGAGAAGTAGATTCAAAGGGTGTAAAACTTTACTGTGCCTGGGACCCAGGGAGGAGTCTGTGGTAGCTGTGTCTACAAAAGAGTAAATTCCAAACACTGGAAACTTCACTGGGGACAGGGTTGAAGACTAGTGTTAAGGAAAATGTCAAACACTGTTGTATTGGGGTAGAAAGGTTTCTTGCCTAGCAGACTGCACCGTTCAAGTTTTGCAACTCCCAGATTACATGGCAGAAAGGACTGTCCTCAGCTCGCCCTGACTGCCACCAGCCTTGATGTGGATCTCCATCTCAGGCTAGAGGTGAAAGGACATTTACTTTTTTATTGATTTGTATTGAGCTCTACATTTTTTTCTCTGCTCCCCTCCCTTCCCCTTCAACCCTCTCCCATGGTCTCCATGCTCCCAGTTTACTCAGGAGATCTTGCCTTTTTCTACTTCCCATGTCGATTAGATCTATGTAAGTCTCTCTTAGGATCCTTATTGTTGTCTAGGTTCTCTGGGATTGTGAAGGAAATTTACTTTTGAGTATAGGTGGCAGGGTAAAAACTGTACATAGATTCCAGTGCCAGGAGCCCTTTAGTCTTGTCCTATGAAACTTGGGTGTAGATTTACTATCTGGATATGGACCACAAGCATATGTGGCTTTCTATAAACTAGTTCACATCCTTATGAATTAATTTTCCCCCCTGGGGGGCGATATGCCCCCCTATTGAAAATGCGTGCCACAAAATTCAAGCCCACATCTGATTTCTGTCTGGTCATAGCCAGAAATTTCTAAATCAGCCATGATTTAGTAGCACTCCAATCAAAATAATTACATCCGAGTCCTTTTCAAAAATAAAAAGGCTTTGAAAATACAAACCACCAAGTGACAATGCTGTTTTGGCAATCGGTAGCACCCTACCTAGTCCACCCTCTCTGCACCATTCTCAGTTTCTTGGGCTGTCCTTGATGCTTGTTCATAGAGCCAAAGATCTGCTAACTGCTTAATTTTAGACACATTTTCAAAAGCAGAAGCACAAAACCAAAAATAGACTCTAAGAAAACATTTTTTTTTTCCTACTGGATGGTAGCAATTGCTAATTTGCAGAACCAGACAGAAAGCATCCACAAATAGCACTGTGTTTTTCAATTTACAGAAGAAATTACTCAAGCTTGCTGCTCACAACCAACCTAAAAATCAATAGCCCACAAAATTGTGTGTATGTCATAAAAGCAAATCACAGCTTCACCAGAAATCAAGCCACTGTGCCACCAGCAGGCACAAACGGGAGCAAGCATTTCCATGCCAAAGGTTTCCAGAATGCTCGTGTTTTAGTCCCATTCCAATCACATACAATACATAAAACACCATCGTACACATTCTCACACACATGTACATTTTCATACTCTCATGGAAAAAATTATTAAGCCTAAGAAATAAAGCAGTCACTAATACACGCAAGCTCAGTGTAGGCTGGGCTTTTATATTACTTCAACAACAGTGAGAGCAAAGGACTTTTTCTGTGAAAACCAACACAAAGAAACATTATGAAAAATCGAGCTCACCTACCTTCACTGGTCCATGGTCACTATTGAAGCCCTGCACCAGGTACACGTAGGACATCATGAGAACATTCACCACTGTCCACTCTCTATACATTTTGGATATTTTAAAGGGCCACTGATGACTAAGCACTTGACACCAGGCAGCTCCTGAAAAGTGGGGCAAATGCATTCTCCAGAAGCAAAGTTCGAAACCCCAAAACTTCACATGGAAAATCACATGATCAGTTGCAATCAAAACGACTTGAGTTAGTCAAGGGACACCCCCTGCCACACACAATCTTAGTATGGGAGAAAGATGCAAAAAAAAAAAAACCTTTTAAAAGTTCCTGCTGCAAAAATAATCAGGAGGTGGCCCTGGCTTCCACTTTATGCTAGAAATCACTCTCCAGTCATTTCATGTCCAGAAAGCCAAAAGAAAGAAAAAAATCTCCACCCTATGCCCTAGGTTCTAGCTGCTTTATAAGGAGGTGGTGTGACCACCGACACTTGCGGCTACAGCAGGCTGGAACCTAACGATGGATTCTGACATTTCCCAGTCTTCAAGGAAGCGTGCAGGAGCATGTGTCTTACATCTGACACAGACTTTGGCAGAAAATTGAGGGGAAGTCTTGGCCGGAGTCCTGCTGTGTCCCTAGCAATAGCAGGGCAGTTTTCAAAGCTGACTCATATGGTCAGGGCTGCTGTGTTTTCGAAAGCAGATAACCTGTAACATGAAACCCGGAGCACAGTTGTGATGGCTGGGATGGCAGCTGAACTGCAGGAGGACAGCTTCAGATGCTCACATAGCTGCTGCCAGTGACATAGAAAGCCATAAAAATGCTCTAAGAAAATCCCAAAGACCACAGGATAAAAGGGCATCTTCTCACATATAAAAAGCACATGTACATAAGCAATTGTTTTTAATAGGAGCCCAATAATTTCCATTGAAATGAATAACATTGGTTTTTAAAGAAGCAACAATTAGAATTATTTGCATGCATTACTACTATTTTTTTTTACTTTTAACTTCTTAAAATAGTTAAATCTGCTCTTTGACAATTTCATACATATATATATAATGCATTCTGATGATTCACTACAAAAAACATCTTTTTATTTTAATGTGGAATTCTTTGTTTTATTTTGGGGTTTTCAAGACAGGTTTTTTTCTGTATAACCCTGCCTGTCCTGTAACTTGCCTGTAGACCAGGCTGGCCTCAGACTCAACAGAGACCCACCTGCCTCTGCCTCTGCCTCTGCCTCCCAAGTGCTGGGATTAAAGGCGTGCGCCACCACCGCCCGACTTAATGTGAAATTCTTTAGTGACACCAGCTAAGCCAGCTTTGGAAATTGAATATACTGAATGGTCAGTCCATCCAAACAGCAGAATTCCAGCTCTTCATTGGTTTCCAATCTTTGACTTCCAGGTTTTGGCCCCCTCAAAACCATTTTTTGCATTCCTGAAATCAAGAATGGCCTCAGAAATTTCTTCATTGGTATTCATCACAAACGGACCTAGGCAAGAAAGAGATGTTTACAAAGTTCTGGGTGATGACATTTTCTTCTACCACTGGAAGCGGTGTGTAGTACTATAGCTCCTCGCTTGAAACACAGTCTAGGCATAGCTCGGCAGCCGCAGCCTCTTTCCATAGCGCTCTGTCCTACAGGACTGCAGTCGCTAGAACTGTATATGCTAAGAAATTATTTCACAGACCAAACGTAGAGAAACACAGTCAGGTCCCACTGCTCATGGCAGGGTCCTTGCCAGTGAAAGCAATCCCTTTATTCATCGCAGTCTTTTTTTTATTTAATTTATTTATTTATTAAAGATTGCTGTCTCTTCCCCGCCACCGCCTCCCATTTCCCTCCGCCTCCCCCAATTGAGTCCCCCCCTCCTCAGCCCGAAAAGCAATCAGGGTTCCCTGTCCTGTGGGAAGTCCAAGGAACTCCCACCTCCATCCAGATCTAGTAAGTTGAGCATCCAAACTGCCTAGGCTCCCACAAAGCCAGTGCGTGCAGTAGGATCAGAATCGCAGTCTTTGTAGTTGTTATTTGTACAACACGAACTGACGTCAGGAACTGAACCAGCCTGGGCTTATGAATCACCTAGATTAGAGCATGGTTTTGACGTCTGCCTAAACTGTGGGTGGGGCTGTGCATTTATGACATGGTTCTAAGTCTGTTTTGAAAACTCGCAGCATCTGCATGGCAGCCAACAGGGGGTTTAATTGCTTCTGAACAGCTTGTACATTAACAGTTCTTTTGCAGTTCCCCAGAAGATACCGCCATGTACCCTATAGCAAGCACAGATGAGGTCAAGTTTTGAAGTTTGGCTGGTTTCTCCTTCCTGACACGAGTCACTACCATGTGCTTGCAATTAAAGGCATTTTTCATCTTCCTGTAAATGCTTCTTTTTACGTTTCTACTGAGTTAGTTTTCATTTTGACCATAATTTCTTATTCACCCACCTTCCCAAAAGATGCATCATGCTAGTGTGGCCATTCTCTTGCCAAGGACTACCAGTACCACAACGTTAATACATTTTATTAATAAACTTCAAGTCAAGCAGCACTTTTTAATAATTTATTTCTTAGGGTCAACCAATTTTTCACTCAGCAAAGGGCCAGGGAATGTATACTTTAGGTTTTGTGAGTCAAGCAGATTAAATACTGACTGGGCTCAAGGAATGACTTGATCCATAATAATTCCCTATGGTTTCCCCAGGCAGAGCCCCACCACGCTCATACCTCAACTCTTTTTCCATAGTACATTTCTATATTCTATTTTTGACACCATCCCATACCTCTCAGTTTAATAAACTGTCCTTAGGTCACCTAAGACATTATAGGGAAAGGCGGATGCACTGAGTGAAGGTATATTATTGATCAGGACCCATGTTTCCGACTCATGGGAATGGGCAAAATCTTCCTCAAAGTCAGGCTCAGGAAATGGGCAAGTCTTTCTCCAATTTGTGTGAGGACGCTGCAGTGTATGCAAAAACTAACAACCACAACTTCCCCATTCGTGATGACTGCCACCTGAGACTGTGCCTCTGCCACAGAGACGAGCCACCTCCTCCTGTGCTGTAGAGAATGAACTCGCTGAGGTTCTAGGTCGGTGTACCGTAGGTAGATCTCCATCAGGTCAAGTTCAGGCCCCCAATTCCAGCTTTCTGTATGTGTGTCCATGTGTCTTTTTGTCATTCCCTTGCCAGCCCTGTCAAGTTTTCAGGGTTGCTTTGAAAACTAAATAAATTCACATTTGAAAAACACTCTGAGCAATACTTAGCAAATAGCAAATGGCATGAACATGTATGTTAAGAAAATGAAATATCAGCATTTTTTTCTCATTTGGAGGAGGGACATAACTCCACCAGAGTTACTGTTGTTTGCTAATCCAACATGTTGTGACGTCTTTGCCTAACGTCATCATTAAGAACACTCAGTTAAGGGCGTTAACTGAGTTAACATAAGGGCGTTAAGAAGTCACAAATCACAACCAGTCCCCAAATACTCTCAGGATGTTTGGGGTTGCCCTTGAGCATGAAAAGTTAAAAAAAATGTAAAAAGAAAAGCAAATTAAGCAAACCAAACAAAATGCTCTGTCTATTAGTCACTGACAGTCCAAGAGACATACGTCTACTTGGGCCTATGAATGTGAACTTGTTTTTACAAGCATCCCTAGTGTCTCGCCTAGGAGGCACTGGAAGAGGATTTGCATACATCCAGCCTTCCAGTTTGCTGTGTCATCCTCGTTCAACTGGGCTCTTGTTTCGCAGGACTGCTATGGAGGAAAGGACCTAACATAAAAGGTTTTCATCGCAAACATGTTTTTCCTACCCCAATTCCAGCCTATAACTAGCTGAAGACCCTACGCCATTTGTTTGTAGCTTTCTTTACCAAAGAACCATTTTCTTCAGTCATGACAAAAGGAAGTGCGCAAAATTAACATGAGAGATCACAAGCTAGGGGATTATGATTTAATATCCCTTCGAAATTACTGCTAGAAGAAAAACAATATTATTTTTTAAAATATTCAGTGTTACTTAAATTTATGACTAGCTGGGGCTTATCTGAGATCATTGTGTATACCTTGGAAATCATGCCAAGTAGTGGAATACAATGAGATCTTAAATCATGTCCAATTTAATAATTAGAGAACTGTACAGTATGTTTAGCAGACAAAGGTATAAATAACAAGTTGGGTTCTTGGTGCTTTTAGATGTTTCTTATTTAATCAAATGTCAGTGATATAAGGACATCAAGATCCAAAGTGGTTTTGTCCCGATGCCAGCATTTTCGGGCTCCAACCACAGCATTACCTCTTCCATACAATAATTAATTCTTTCCTTTTCTTGAAAAAAAAATATTTATTTTATTCTTTAAGTGTGAGTGTGTGTGTGCGTGCATGTGCGCACACATACGTGCAGATGCCCAAGGAGGCCAGAAGAGGACGTTAGATCTTCTGGCGCTGGGAACTAAGTTTGAGTTCTCTGTGAGTGCAGCATGTGTTGCTGAGCCATCTTTCCAGCCCAACTCTCTTCATTTCGTAATTCAACTAAGAATGGCTTAAACTATTACAGAAATTTTCAAAGAAGTATTATTCCTAAGAGGCTCATATTTTTCACTAAAAATATAATAGGTTACAAGGGCCGTGTTGGCTATGATTTGCATACTGATTTTCCCCTCCACAATTCATATTAAGATCTGATTGTCCTTGGCCATATGGGGAGGTGGAGCCATTAAAAGGTGACCGGGTCATGAAGATGAGGTAATAACTTTTCCAGTGGGTGAGTTCTCACTCTTGTGGGGCTGGATTAATTTTTTGGTGTGGGGAGAGACTGGTTTTATTACCACAGCGGCAGAATGTTATGAAGCATATCCACCCCTCAAGTTTTGTCTCTCAAGCATATACCCATTTCTACTTTCTGTCGAGTTGAAACAACATGAGGCCCTACACACACACACACACACACACACACACACACACACGTTGGAATTCCAAGTCTCCAGTGATGTCTGTCAAAATAAATTTCCTTTCTTTAAAGATTACTCAGTCTCACGTATTCTGTTAAAGCAACACAAAACACTATTGAAATCACTGCTACTTTGGTTAAATGATATTCAAGTCCCTAGTGGACAATGAAGTTTTTCTTTTCCCTTCAAGTTGAAATCCCCCCGAACACACACATATCAAAGGAAAAAAATGTCAGCCAGGAAAACCATCATCATTTTGGACTTACCATGTTGGACAACTGGTTCTCTTAATGGCTCCCCAGCAATTAAGACAAAATGGCTTCTTTGGGGGTCCTAAAATAATCAA